CACTCTGCAACCCTCATTCCATATTCCTATGATAAACATAATGCCCTAAAATATAATACTTTTAAACTATTCTCTCCCTCATAGATTTCAATGCAGTAAACGTAATTTATCCAGTTTTTCTCAGTCTTACCCCACCCCGATGTCAGCCTCATTCTACAGCAGTGGCACCATATAGCATTTGTCCCTTTGCGACTGAGATATTTCACTCAGCATCATGTCCTCCAGGGTCACCCATTTTGAATAACATTGCATGAGTTCCTTGTTTTTCAATGCAGCGTAGTATTCCATTCTGTGAATATACCACAGCTTCTCTACCCATTCGTTTGTTGATGGGCACTTGGGTTGTTTCCAGCTCCTTACTATTGTGAACAAAGCCGCAATAAACATGGGTATGCATATATCTACTTGGATGTCGTTTATGGTCTCTTTAGGGTATATTCCCAGTAGTGGAATTGCTGGGTCAAATGGTGTCTCTATTTGCAACTTTTTGAGAAAGCGCCACGCCGCTTTCCACAGTGGTTGCACCATTTTACACTCCCACGGAAATCTGAGACTGTGGCTCTTGATAACTCTTTGAGCTCAACTAAACTTGCTTCTGTGGCTCAACTTTCAGCCAAACAATTAACATGCTGATAAGGTGAACAATAACTCCGGAAAGCCCTCACTCTTTTAAATAAGCCATACCACAAGATCTAAAAAAAACTACATCTGCCTTGGAAAAAAAGCCCAGAAGGAAGGGAGGGATAGGATAGAAGGCTGAATGCAAACAAGGGCTACAGTGAGAGAAAGAGGAGAGTGCTGTTAAAACGTGGGATCATAATGCGTACCATAAAACAAATCCTATGAATGATGGGTGGAAAACCAAATGCCCTGTAATCTCTCACTCAAAGCACAGTTTTAAAAACTTTATAAGGTATTGATACATAAGAGAGGTTATTTTAGAAACGTTAGACTCTAGGTATAAAAACAAAGTAGGAAGTTGTTCTAGTTCTGATTTTAATTCTCATTCAGAGTAGATCTTTGTGATTTAAGGGGGAAAAGTACAATAAAATCACGATCATGGATTTCATCCTCATGGCAAATATTGGTAAGTTTATTAGTTATGGCAGAACTAGACTACCGCAAATACTCCAAAGAAAGCAAAAATAAAAATCTCCTTTCATTAATTTTCTAACCCAAACACAAAATTAAACTGTTGGAGAAGCTTTATGAGAACTTTCAAGATGGTGTGACAGCAAGTGTTTCACCAAGTTCAAAAGGCCTATATTGCATATTTACAGAAGTATCATGTTAGAGAAACATTCAATGCATATTTACTTTGCTGTTGTTGTTGTTGCGTACTGTCTAGTTGGAACCAACCTATAGCGGATTTTGTGAGGCAGTTAATCTCACAGGAGGAGATTGCACATTTTACTCCTGCAGAGCAGATGGTGGATTTGAATCCCAAGCCTTTGAGATCGCAGTGCAGCTTCTTACCACTAGGCCACCAGCCTAATGAATTCACATTTAGGTCATCTTTGGTGTTTGATAATTTTTTATTATGGTTTGGGTCTTTTTAAAATTTTATTTTATTTTATTTTTCATTATCCTGCAAAGAATTACAGAATCTCTTTTATCTAATTAAAATTAGAACCTTTGGAAATGCGCGCACATGTGATGTTGGTGAGGCAAGAAAGGGACGGGGTTCCAAACTGAGGGTAGGAAAAGGTTTAAATGAATTATATTTGCCTTCTCAGCACTCAAATAGTTCTCTTCCTTCATATCTAATTTGATGACACAAGCATTTATTGGCAATTGTTTCTATGGACAAAATACTCTGTATTATGATCACTTAAAGTTTTAAAAATAAAGTCTCTGTACTTTGAGGTTGTTTGTTTTTATTCCAAGGGTCCTGAAGGAGTAGAAGTTGACACAGTAGAGGAAAATGATGATACTGAAATTCTCTCTTTTCCTGACTTCAAGATCCCATCCAATCCTAAGTATTTTAAAATATTTATTAATGGGATTTTTTCAGAAAAGCATATCTGGAATGCACCTATGACTTTAAAATGAAACCATTTTATGGTTATTTTTGCTCTGCCTTCGAGAAGAGTACTTGGGGTTAATTAATTACACTGAAGAAGTTCCGGAAATCTGGATGAATTGGGAGATTTGAACAATGTGTGTAATCGTAAAGCTGATTATGATTTTGATAAGACTATGCTCTATAAAACAGACATGTACTTGCTATTTTATTATTTTTATCATGGATCCAAATTAATCTTGTAACCCTTTTATCTTGGAATAATTATTTTGCCATCCTGTCATGACAAATACTTTCCTACTTCAATATTTTTGCTCTTGTTTAAGATGCATTTCACTTTGCTCTTCACAAAGCTATTTACTTCTCATTCTTTTTTTTTACCTTTCAATCTAGTCCTTCCCTGCATTTCACTGTTTCAACATCTTGTTTATTTACTTTATCACATAAATCTCAGTTTCATAATTACTTATTTCTTTGTTTACCTTTTTATTTCCCATTATTACATAAATAAACTCCTGAGAACTAAGACTTCATCTTCCTCACTGCTAAACCGCTATCACTTCAACATACAAGGCGCTCTATAAACGCTCATTGAATTGATAATGATGATCACAATAATAATATTTATTGATATAAAACCAAACTGCAAGGTAGATACTGTCTTTTCCATTTTAAAACTGAGGTTAAAGGACTTATCCAACCTTCTAGTACATGGAGAAGTAGAAATATTAACACCTTGGGGCAATACATTCTGTGAAGGGAGGCCCATGTTATTAACTTTTGAACTCCAATTCTTAATCCAGTGCTTAATAAATACTCTTGAACGTAGACTATTAATTCAAGTGAAGTCTTTTTTAAGCTATGCTCCTTTTCCAACCAAAGTTATATGAATTTTATCATCTAGATAAACTTTATCTACTATATATGTGTTTCTAGAAGCATTATTATGGATCTTAGTATCATGTTATTATAGTTAAGTTACAAGATTAAGTAAACTCTCAAATATTATACTCTCTTCCAAAACATGAATATTGACTATATAACAAATAATCTTGATAAATAGTTCAATATATGAAAAGCTAATTATAAACATTTTCAATTATTTGTGTTTATCACGTAAATGCCTGTTACAAATAAAATATCTTGCTTAGGTTATCTCTAGTTTTATATGCCCTTTCATATTTAATTAGTAATTGATCGTATTTTCTCTAGGTAAATAAAAAATACCTGATGACAAAAAAAATACCTGATGACATTATTAATTTTAAATATTTTGCTTTCTCAGATATGGTGTGTGGACAATTCAAGCTAAATATAGAGACGACTTTTCAAAAACTGGAAGCACGTATTTTGAAATTAAAGAATATGGTAATTTTTTACTTTTAAGATATTTCCTGTAAAAAAGAATTACTTTTTAGAATGAAAAGATAAGCAATAAAAGTAAAAGAAAAAAGAATTACTTTTATAATTATGTCATATTCAAATGTGTTGTGCACCGTGCTAAATTCAAAACCGGATTTTATTATTCATTTAGTAATCCTCTATTGAATATTTCAAATAATTAATTGTGTGGACCAGAATTTGTTTACTTTTTAAAAATTTTCTCCATATTTGTTCTTTTATTTTTAAACAGATAAATCTTTTAAAAAAGTTCTCAGGCAAAGAAGAACACTGAGAAGTAAAATAGAGGAAAAAGGTAATATAAAAGCTTTATGAAATTACAAAAAAAGATTGTGATACATCACTCACTACATCATTCAGTAGCTGGAGGAAATGAAACATTATGTTATTTTTCCTAATCAGATACAATGAATGAAAAGACATTGTATACAGAAGCCTAGCTCATTTCCTCAGGAAAATTCAACCAAATTAATCTGATACCTCATTTGTTGTTGGTTGGTATCAGGTTGATTCCAACTTATGCAGACCCAAAGCCTATGCACAGAAGCATGAAGCACCGGCTGGCCCTGTATCATCCTCACACATAAGCTGTAACTTTGCCCATTGTTGCTGCCACTGTGCTAAGCCACCTTTTAAAGGGTTTTGTTTTCTTTACCTTTTGACAAGCATGATATCTTCTCCAGGTACTGGTCTCTCTTGATAGCATGTTCGAAAAGCATTAGACTCACAGCATCGTCACTTCTCAGCATTCTCTCTATAACTATTCAAGACAGATTTATTCCTTCTATCAGTTTATGCTATATTAAGTATTCTTCATCAACACTATAACTCAAGTGCACCAATGCTCTTCAGCTTTCCTTTGTTGTACAACTTTTGCATTCATACGTTGTTGCTGTTATGTGTCAGCAAGTTGACTACAACTCATTGTGACCCTGTGCACAATAGCTCTGAACCCTGCCTTATCCCAAACTAGTCTCACTGTCTCTGACATATGTCCCCATTATCCCATATACTGTGTTGATTCTTCTTACCCGAGGCCTTCCTGTCTTGTGCTGTCCCTCCCACCTTCCAATCTAGCATGATGCTCTTCTCCAAGAACTGGTCCCTCCTGACAACATGCTCAAAGTATGTCTGACAGAGCTGCTGTTGGACTTGAACTATGTGCCTTTGGATTGCAGCACAGTTTCTTACCAATAGACCACCATAGCTTTTGCAAATCTCACGGCTTGAGTCAGTGTTTGCACTTCTTTTCAGATTTATCCAAAGTGATACCTCATATAATTTCTTGATTGCTGCTTCATAAGAGCTGACTGTGAGTCCAATAAAATTAAGTTCCTGATGACTTCAATTATTCTTTGCCATAGTGTTGCTCACCAGTCTAGTAGTGAGAATTTTGGGTTTCTTTATGTTAATATGGAATGCATCCTTAAGGCTATAGACTTTTATTTTCTTCAGTGAGTGTTTCAAGTCCTTGCCACTTCAAGCAAACAAAGTTATGGTTTCTGTTTCTAAAATCTAAAATATTAAATTCCATTTGTTAGGAAAAATTTGTGGCCCAATGTATTATTTTATTAACTTGAGATACACAGAGTAATCTACTACTTCTATTGTCTGTATTGCCAGTTGAAAGCATTTTGGATTATTCTTCTGAAAGCATGTCAAGTTTGTAGTCAAACAAGTCTTAATTATTCATAAAGAATTATTTAAATATGAGCTCTGGTGGCTAAATGTGCAAGAAATGGTGCTGCCAATCCAAAGGCATGCTATTTGAATCCACCAATAACTCCTAAAGAGAAAAGATGGGCAATTTCCTCTGATGTTATTTATTGTTGCTGTTTTTGTTATGTGTCTATCAAGTCTACCACAACCCGTAAGGATCCATGAACAATGGATGTAACCCCTGCTCTATCCTATCATCATCACCTCTGGTATATTTAAGTCCATATGTTATAGTCACTGTGTTCCTTCACCTTGTTGAGGGTCTTCCTCTCTTTAACTCCACCTTTTTAAGCATAATGTCTTTATCCAAGGACTGGCCCTCTTAACAACATATCCAAAGAATGCAAGGTGAAGTTTCACCATCCTTGCCTTAAAGGAGCACCCTTATCACACTTTCTCCAAGAAATAGTTGTTTATTCTTTAGGCAGTCCGTGAGATACTCAGTAGTCCAACACCACAAATCAAAGTCATTGTTTCTTCTGCCATCCTTATTCATTTTCCAATTTTCAAATATATGTTGTGGTTGTTAAGCGTCATGGAGTCATAGACAACTCATAGTGACCTTATGAAAGAAAAACCTGAACACTTGTATAACTTTCATCGTTTCTCCAGGTTCATAGAGTTTCCAGAGGCAAGCTAGTTTGGAAGTGGATGCCACTCCTGCTTCCAAGCTTGTTTTAATTGGGGAGCTCCACCAAACACTGCCCACCATGGGTAACCATTATTGCATTTGACACATCAGTATTAAATGCCTAGGAAGTAATTTAAAAGGCCATGGTCTAAGTCAGGCACACTTTAGTCTTTAAACTGACACTGCTGCTCTTTGGAGCAACAATCTGACAACAGACTTTTCCAATGCAACAAGTCTTGATTTTTTTTTTTACTTCTGGTACCAAGGATATGGATTGTGCCATTTATGTTGTTGTAGATTGCCCTTGAGTCAAGCATGACTCATAGTGACCCTATGAACAAAAGACCTGAAGCCTTTCTGTAACTATCATCGCTACTCAAAGTTCATAGTTTCCAGAGACCTAATGTTTAGAAAGTGGATGTCGATCCTGCTTCCACTTATAGCTTTTGAAAGTCAGCTGAAAGGTTAATTCTGAGTAATTCTGACTTGATGGCACATAACACCACCAATACATTGGCAAAGTCAAAATGGAAGGAACACCCAGGGATCTGAATTCAACTGCTAATCATAATAGAAATATTTTACCTGTTGTATTGTTAATTGTGTGCTCATCTGTCTCCCGCAGAGCAGCTGGTGGATCCAAACCTTATCCCTTTGGATTGCAGCACAGGTTCTTGCCACTAGGCCACAAGTGCTTCAAAGTATTACACTGTGAGCTGATTTAGGTCATGGTCTTCTTAATCATGAGTATTATCCTCCAATTATGATTTACTGCCTCAGAAGCCAATGGAGGATTACTATGTATCGGAATTGAATCTAGGACAGTATGCTTTTCCTAATAGGTAGAATTCTCCCAATCCTAGAATAATTTGAAGCAGAGTCTATTAAGGAATCATAGTTATTGTGAGAAGGTCATGTGTCAGCAGAAACCAGTTAGTTATCCCTTGAGATCTCTTCTAATTTGAGATGTTAATATTCTATACATGACCAGGTCTACTTGTGTTACTATAATTTCAGCTTCTAACTACAAGCATGCGATACCAAGGAAATGTTGTTTTGATGGAGCATTTCTTCATGATGATAGTTGCGAGCGCCGAGCTGCACGGATTACCATAGGTCCAAAATGTGTCAGTGCTTTCGTTGAATGTTGTAACCTCGTAGACAAGATTCGTGCTGAACATAAAGGAGTACATTTGTCTGTGCCACCACGTAAGTTTGATATTTTCTATGAGAATTCTTCTTAATACAAGGGCTTTTGTGGAATTTTATGAACAAAAGATCATATTGCTAGGAGGAGGTGTTATTCCTTGGAGAGGGACATGATGTTGGAAAGGGTGGAGGGTCCGTGAAAGAGAGAAAGGCCCTCAATCAGGTGGATTGACAGGATGAATGCTGCAATGGACTCGTGTGTCAGGAAGTGTAAGGATGGCGCAGGTTAGGACTGCGTTCAGATCTTTTGTTCATAGGGTCACTATGAGTTGTAATCAACTCGATGGCATCTAACAACAACAACTAAAACCTGCATTTTACTCTGGATATAATCTTAACTCTGGACTGTTGTTGTTGTTGTTATGTGCCGTTGAGTCGTTTGCGACTCATAGTGACCCTATGTACAACAGCCCTAAACCCTGCTCTATCCATATTTTTTTCCCTTTCCTGATGGATATTACAAGTAACTTTTTCTACTTTTAATTTCAGAGTCATCATGAAAACTCCCTTTCTTGGAAGCATAAAATTCTACAAAATTCCTTGTAATAAGAAGAATTCTCATAGAAAATAGCAAACTTTCAGTCCTATGTTCTTTTCACTACAAAGTACAGGTTCTAGATTCTCTGGATCAACACATTAATATTGTCTTAAAAATAAAAAATAAGACAAGGAGTGAGGAATCTAAGTGCATATTTCCTCTCTGAAATGTTGATGTGATTAACAAATCCTGTATGTTTCAAAATTAACTTACAGCCATTTTTTTTAGAAACCATTCTTAATATCCTAGTACAAAGTTTGATTGAACTGCTAATTTCCTCATTATTTATCAGAGGTTTATCCTTACACACTTAGGCCCAATGAAGGATCTTTCTGAGTCTAAAGCAACTCAGTGGCAGTGAGTTATTTTGAATGGATTGTCAATTAAACTGATGCTCCAA